TCCTTAACCACAGATAATAGCCAAGTTAGTATTGTATCTTCACCTGCCAAAGTACAGCTTTTACAAGATCAGTTTTCTTTCAAGGAAGAGCAAGTATGAGAGGTGTATAGCATACAGTATACTTCTGTTTCTTTGTGGTTAAATTGAGCTAGTATTAATGGGCTTGTGGAAGCACTCACTCAGAAAACAGTATAAAATTCTCAGCAGCATTTCTCCCAAAGCAAAACCTTCTGCCAGCTAGCTAGGAGCAGAGCATCTCTTTCTGAACTTGTCATATACATCACCAGCAGTAAACCTGCTGCCTCTTCCCTCCAAGTGAGTCTGTGCTGGCCACCCAAAGGACAAGTGTTATCTGTTGCCTTGATCACCCTTCAGTGAATGTAGAAATAGGAAATGATAAACAACCTAGTTTTTGATCTCATCGGATTTGTCTGCCTTTTGCAAATAATTATATCAGCACTGGCCAATTTGCTCTACTGTAGCTGAAAAAGATTGCTGCTGAGTTCAGGAAACCACTCTGTCATCTGCAAATGAGAGAAAAGAAATGGTTTAAGTAATGCAGAGGCATATTATAATCCTTGCCTAGAACAGAGGGTAACTTTCCCTTTCCTAGAATCACTGTTTCTAAGTTCACTGTATTTCTCTTCTTCATTAGTAGCTGATTAGTTTGTCTGTTTTTTTATATCAACTGCTTTGCAAAGTCAGGATTATTCCTAGTTAACTATTCTAGTAAGTGTTTGGTTTTTAAGGGGGTTGTAAATAGCTCAGGTACATTAGAGCCTGCATTATGCGATTGCCTTTTGATAGAACCCACTGCAAATGCTGCACATTTGACAAGGGACATTGACTCCCTCTGAATTTTTATTCATTAGTCCCAGATAGTTGCTTAATGTGAACAGGAGCACTGAGGTGCTGTGTCCTTCAGTGATCAGCTTCTCAAAATTAGGTAGCTATGCTGCTTCGCAAGCAGCATGGCATTTACTTTCAAAGGAAGTGAGGCCAAGCTAAAGACCTGAACGTAGGCCATTGCCATTTGGAGAGCACCATGGCATTCTAGTGCTTTTAAAGGACTTTTCTTGGCAAAGATTTTGTAGCTCCAGTTCTCGGTAAGGGATGCTGAGGTGGAAGTGGTTTCCTGCACTCAGCAACAATCTTTTTTTAAAATAAGTCATTAGTTTTGGGATGGTTGGCTTATTGGTGTGTTCTATAGCACTGAAGATGGAGCCTGCACTATAAAATCTGACATCCAAACAGCATAGACCCAAAGGAATTGAGGATGGGGGGGGTATTCTCCCCCCCCCAACAAATCAACTTATTGAAAAAATCAAAGTAAAAGTTTGGAAGCCCTAAGATTGGCTTCTCTGTAGCTTAATTTCTGCTATGTAAGTCCCTACTCATCCTATGATGGAAAGTTACGAGCTTATGATCATTAGTTGCACCACCTACCATGAGCCCTTTCAAAGGCAGGTGTTAATGCCCGTATGCTATCAGCTTTTGCTGGGTAGAAGCAGAAAATTAACAAAACCAGTGAGTCAGATGCAAAGACTAAAATGGAATGTGACTCTATGGTATATTTTTTTAAGTGCCTCTCTTTTGCTTTCTGGGTATAATGAGACTGTATAATCCATGGAGGAGACAAAATAGCACATGTTTATTTCAAGACATAGGTGAAGAAGGGATTTGAAGTCATTCTAGATTTACTTTAAAGAGGTTCATGTATCTTGTAAAGCAGTTCATTCATGGTGAGCATTCTTTGGGGTGGAACTCTAGGGAACTGTAAGGCAGAATTTCTTCGGAACCTTCTAAGGCAAAGGATACATCTTAATTTCCACTTTTCCTGCAGGACATGTGATTTGATGTGGTGGGGGGCGGGGGGAGAAAACCATCTCGGAATTTCATTATATTCTGGTGTAACTGAGAAACGGGCCCATCCCAGATTTTCTGTGGATAAAGCAGTGAAACTATGCAGAGAGCAATAAACTTCATTCTCAGTTGCCATCTAGATGGCCATCTGACAGCAATGCAGATTCTGTGAACGTAGGCAGATCATGAGAGGGAGGGCAGGAAGGGTTGCATCAGTGCTTAGTTCTCATGGCCCTTTCTTACATGCCTAGGGAAATGCCGATTGCCACTTTGGGGTCAGGGAGCCATTTTCTCCAAGCCAGTTTGGCCAGGGATCCTGGAGGACATTTTGTGCCATCTTCTGGGCATGGAGCAAGGGTCACTGGGGGTGTGGGAGTGAGGTAGTTGTAAATTTCTTGCATTGAACAGGGGGTTGAACTAGATGACCCTGGAGGTACCTTCCAAGTCTATGATTCTAAAACAAGAAAAACAAAGCAGACCTCCAACAATGGGACTAAAGAAAATTTTGCAAAGTTCTCAAAGATGGGCATAAAAACTGGTTTATATCGAGTACTGGTGTCACCTTTATCAGAAGCACTGCAAAGATTATAAGTAAAGAAGACACAGCCATCCCTCCTTTTCACTTACTGATCACATCTTATCTCCTAAATTATGAGCTGTTTTTACAGCTTGAGAGAGTTGTTTTATAGTTTCTTCAGAATCTTTTGCAGTTCCTCCTTTGAAGAGTACACTGGTCCTCAAAATGCACCAGGTATTCTCCTCTTCCTTTTTTTGTGGTCTGCAGTTTGCTGCGGCATCACTACATTTATTATTAGGAAGGACAGCACATGATCTGTCAAATGTGAAAACCAGGGGTGGGCAGGTAATTTACTTTTAGCATTCCTTGGGTTATTGCTTTATGAATATCCTCTTACAGGGGGCAAACTATCTACTTCATGTAGAGAGTAGAGACTGACTCTTTAACTCCTCCAGTGTTTCAGCAAGTGAGTCACATTTCTGCTTGCTGGTTGTCTTTTGTAAAGCCAGTACAGAGAGTTACGCATATACAGCTGTTACAAAAGGACCTCACAGTGTAGGTTGAGTGGTTGATTATCTGTGGTTGATTTAGCCCTTGTGGATTAAGCCTGAATGACCTCCTATGACCACTCTGCGAAGCATTCCCTCTGGTGCTCGCTCACCCTGAAATTGGGGCATCACAGCTGTTTGCTGCTCTCAAATGTATGCATTCAGCATTCACCATAGAGGGTTAATAAGCATAATAGTGTGGATAATAAGCTGTAAATGTTGGCTTTATAACCAATGAGGAGCATAAATATCGAGGAGCATAGTTAATACTTCCTTAATTCTTCTCTGAATGAAGAGCTGACATCCTGTCTACCATACTGTAGACTCTGTTCATCATATTCCTTTGCTTTCTTCATTCCCTTGCTCATCTTAAAATTTCTTATTCTCTCCATTCTGCGCTATCCAGTTTTCAGTCTACCACCCTTCTGCATGGCCTCAGAATGCATCACTTCCTACACTTGGCACTGCATACTCCACTTCTGCTTACAAACACACTCTCACACCTTTGCTATCTTGCTATATTGCCAGCTTGAACTGGGTCAGACGCCTGCCTCTTGGCCTTATTGTTAACTCTGTGTCATGGCTTTGTGAGAAGGGTAGGCAAGTTCAGGAGAGGTGAGCCACCTGGCCAGTATTAACAAAGCATTGAGTTAAAGGTCAAGGAATAAATATTCGTAACACAAAATAATCAGCTGCAGTGGAGCAGCGTGTAGTCCCAAATTCAGTAAAAACTTAGCTGAATCAGCAAACTTGAGTTGGATGGGAAAACAGTATAAGGACAAAGAAGCCAGAATGTTGGAATGAGTAAGTGTGGGAGGAAAAACATCTGTCAGAGAAAGACATGTTGTCAAGGTTGGACTCAAATACAGAATGGGCTGAACAGGTCTATTGCAAAGGGAGCCAGAATTTATTTAAGAAAATGCGCTGCCTCTCAAGAAACTGCTCAAAGTGGATTGCAGTATAAAAACAAAATTGAAACAACAAATAATCCAGCTAGCAATAAAACCAGAAAGCATCATAACAGCATAACAGAAACCAGCATAAAACTGGTAAAACACACCCAATGCAATCCATTAAAAGATATTTAAAATAATATCTGGTAAGAACTAGCCCTTTAAGGCAATGTGTGTTGTCTCAAGCAACATGTCCTTCACCTGTGTCTGTGGTGCAAACAAAACAGGGAATACAATGCGGGTTCTTTTTCTCATTCCTGTTGGAACAAGGAGGATTGTGGCTTTGGAACCATTTCTTTGTGCCAGCTCTGAGTGAGGCCAGCTCTGAGTGAGGCCAGCTCTGAGTGAGGCCAGCTCTGAGTGCGGGAGATCAGAAGCAGAATACATAAGCATACAGAAGCATAAGGGAGATCAGAAGCAGAATCCTTGACGTTTATGTAATACTTGATGCTCAAACTGCTCTGTGTTACCTTGTTGTAATACTTGCAACATCCCTGTAATGTAGGTACAGTGGTAGTATTCCCATATTCCAGATGGGGAGACTGAGAATGAATGGCTTGATGAAGCCAACCTAGTAATGGTGGAGGTAACATTCAGACTATTGATTTCCCAAATGATAAATCATTCTCTCAACCAGTGTTTACAGCAGCTTTTTAGAAGAACTGCAGGTTTCAAGTTGAAGTTTACATGTGTGTACAATGCAGTTGCATTCTTGTGTTAAAAATTGGTGTGTTTAATAGATACATCACCCTTCGTGTTTAAATGTCATTGACTTAACATCTGGAAGGAAAGCAAAAGCTAGTTGGGGACTAATGGAGGCATCCTGTAGGAGGTACCTTTGTCAGTCCTAGGCATTTCCAGTTAAAAGTCGTACTCTCTCGTGTATTTTTTAAAAAGAAAAGAAAAACAGAGGCAGGCCATGGCAAACCACTTCTGTTTGTCTCTTGCCTACTGGGTTGCCATAAGTCAGCTGTGACTTGATCGCAGTCTCCACCATCACAATGCGTGGTGTTTGAGTACAGGATTTTTAAAAAACAAACATAGTTAAAATCACAACAGGAGTGGGAAGATGATGAGTGCTGGGACCTCCAAGTTGATGGCTATGGTAACTTTGATCTGTTACTCTCCATCTTTACCACCTCCTGAATTTCACTTGCCATTCCCTATTTTATGAAAGAAACAAGTTTTCTATAGCTAGTCCTACCTGCTTGGGCTGATATCTACCTGGAGACTTGTGAAGCAGGAATTATCAGCAGTCAGTGTTGAAACCAAAATTGCATCTGAGCTTCTAACCTGTGATTAGGGAGAGGAAGGAAGGGCTGTGTTTGAGAATCAGAAAATTATGAAAATATGTGTAATGGCAACAGACTGTGGAAAAATATTGCCACTCCTGGTTAGTTTGTCCCAAAGTTGTTCTAAGGGCATGGTAAGTAATGGAGTGACCAAGAACTTGCAGATGGGATTCTTGAGAAGTATGGGCTTGCACTGAGCGAGTTGCTAGTTGCTTCTGTAAAATGGGGCTAATGTTTACATGATTCATAGCCCAATGGACTGAGGGAACACCAAGCAAAACAAAAAAGTCTTCACTTGCTGGTGTGAGATGGCACCAGAAAGGGACAAACAACTCTTCCTGGGGAGAGAGTTCCAGAGTTTTGGTGCCACAACTGTGGAGGCCATCTCCTAAGTTGCCACCCACCTAACCTCAGAAGGTGGGGACGCCCAAAGAGGGCCTCTGAACATGACAACAGTGATCAGGTAGGTTCATAAGGGAGTAAGCAGTCCTTCAGGTATGTTGGTCCCAAACAATACAGGGCTTTAAAGGCCAATACTAGTAGCTTGAATTGTGCATGGAAACAGATTGGGAGCCACAGTAGATAGGCCAGGACTGGAGAGATATGGTCCCTACGACTACTCCAGTCAACATCCTAGCTGCAGCAATCTGCACCAATGGAAGTTTCTGAACACTTTTCTTGGGCGGCACCATGTAAAGTGCATTGCAGTAATCTAGATGTAACCAGGGCATGCACCACAGTGGCCCGATCTTGTCTGTGCAGGAAAAGCTGCAGCTGGTTAACCAGTCAATACTAGTAAAAGGCACTTCTGGCCACGGTGTTTAAATGTCCAGCTTCAATCTTGTTTAAAGTCCAAAGTGGAATTTTTAATGCAATCCAACCAGCTCTGAGTGAGTGTTAAAATATTTCACTTTATGAGTTAATCCTTTTCTGCAGGGATCTGAGCTGCCAGCATGGTGTGTAAGCAAATAGCTGGGAAGCATCTAAATTCCTTAAAGCCTGCTTTCATTTATGAAAGAGCCTAGATTTGGAAACCACAGAGACTTATTCAAGTGACTTCTGCTGACAGCTTGCCATATTTTTTCTTGAATGGCAGCACTCAGAATTGGCTGTTCCATGATATTGTAGGCTAATCTTTATTACTCCAGTTGTAAAAAAAGTAAAGACAATGAATCTTAAAAATATCCTGCAAACTAATAACAGTGATTCACAGTTATAGTAAAATAGTAAAAAGCCCAGTAGCAACTTAAAGACTAACAAACTTTATTGTAGTATAAGCTTTCAAGAATCACAGCTCTCTTCGTCAGATGCATGGAGGGTAACTCCTCTGGATCTATCACAGTTATAGTGGCACTTTATAGTGTCCTCACTTAAAATATGTGATAACCTAGCTGCAATAAATATAGATTTTTCACACTGAGGAATGACTGCCAGTTCCCTTCCCTCTCTGCCTCTAACCCTCTCTCTGCCTAACTGCCTGCTGCCAGCCAAGTAAAAACAATTGCGTGTGAGCTCTCTTGTTGGCAGTCAGCACTGCCTATCAAGCTTTGGAGGGCCACTGCTGGTGTTTCCAGGGCTGCAGAAATCCTTCCCCCCTGTTGCTTTGACAACTAATTGATCGACACTGGCATGTCTGCCTCATGAACTGCTGACATGAACTGCATGAATATGGTGGTTTGTGGGAGATGCAATCTCACCAAACTGTGGCTCATGAACCAGACAATTTTCGTGATGAATTTAGGATCATGCCCATCTCTACAGTTGATAGTTCAGAACTTGTGGCTTCTAGTAGCAAACTTGGGTTACCATCCTAATCTTGCTCTACAGGTTCAAGTTGTTTCACCTGCCATCTCTCAGTCTTAAACCTGGAAGTGAACTCCATTCATTTCAGTGGCACTACTAGGTAGGATTGTTTCACACATATATGTTAATCAGGTAATGACTGCGGCACCAAGTGATGTAGCACCAAACCTGTAACCCCAAGTTACAGGTTTCTGTTGCTTCACATTTATTTTTAAATGAAGTTGCTTGTCAGCTGCTTGTCATCAAGTGCCCAGAAACTGAGTGGTGCAGAAACATCAGGACCCTACTTTTTGTCCTTGGTATTTTGAGTGGTGGTGCTATGGAATGCCATTCCAGGGGAAGCCCACTTGGCCTTCTTTATGTTTGCCTTTGGAGGAGCCGTGAATATATGGCTCTTTCAGAAGACTTTTGAGATCACTGTAAGTTGATCTTAGTTTGATGCTCCCACTGTGGTTAGGTGGTAGTTTGTTATTTTCCTGCTGATGATTTTTTTTGCACTGTATGTAGCTTTTACTGATCATTAGCTGTTCTGCAGATGTTTCTCATCAGATGGGCAGGATATAAATGTATTAAATACGTGAAGCAGCTTACAAGTATGTTTAGAGCCATAAACATAAGTATGAAGGAAGAGTGCTTTTCCCTCTGAGGAATTCATTTCCCTGGCTCACTTCTGAGTCATAACGTTGCCCTTGACTTAGCACTCTACAGGCAGCCCCAGATTCACATCTGTGTAGTGCTCCGGTATGCTCCTATGCAAGCAAATTTTCCAAAGAACTTCAGTGAACATGACAGCTTTGCAGAAGCATCCTCCTGTGAGTGCAGTGCCGGCCCTTTCTTGAAATGAATAAGAAAGTCCTTGCAGTATGAGAATGTATCAAAGCTCCTACCCCTACAAAAACTGCTGTATTGACCAAATCAAACAAATAAACCTGTACAAATCACCCACACAATTTTGAATAATCCCTTTCAGCCTGGGTTTGCCAAGGGTATGACATTCTGTGAAGTAGGAAAGCTGTGTACCAAATTAGGCATAAATGTCGTTTCCAAGTTAAGTAATTCAAGGGAGCAAATATTTAAATACAATAATATCTGTCAATGTGGTGAGCAGCATTTTTTTTTAAAAAAATGGATTGCTTGGAAATTGCACAGACTAATTCTAAGGGGGTTTGGTGTTTTTGTGTGTGTGTGTTTTTAAGCTCCCGCGGAGCCTTTGTTGTGCAAGTTTGCAGATGGAGGACAAAAAAAGAGACAGAACCAGAACAAGTATATACAGAATGGACGAGCCTGGCACCGGGAAGGCGAGGTGAGACTTGTAAGTCCTCCTTTCAACCTTCAGTGTGGGTGTGTAATGATAAACACTTAAAATAATAGCTGCACAAAAGGACTCTGTTAGCATTCTGCGTGTTGTGTAATAGGATCTTACAGTTTTTCAAGCCACTCAATATAGTAATATAAACACAACATTAAGTATTTAATACTGCTAAAATAAATAAGGCATTCTTGCATTTGTTACAATTTTACAGTTGAACTGTAGTTTTCTGTGAATGTTTTGATTCTGTTCTTGCACGTACTTACATGTATGCATATGCATTTATGCTGAACCTCAATAATAATAACAAAATGTTGTCAAGTCACGAGTGACTTATGGTGACCTTCAAGGCAAGAGATTTGCAGAGGTGATTTGCCATGGCCTGCCTCTGCATAGCAACTCTGGACTTCCTTGGTAGTTTCCCATCCAAGTACTGACTATGGCCAACTGTGCTTGAGTGGATGAGCTCTAAGGCTAGTCTAAGCTAGTCAGGCTGCCGCCTGGGGACAATTTGGCATCCAGAATCCTCTTATTCCTTTGTCTGAGGACAACAGGCTTACCTGTGTTGCAGGAGTGGGCTGGGTTGAGCTCTCCTGGATGAATGTGGATTCCAAATTGCCCCTGGACAATCACTGGAAAAAGGGAACAGTGGGCGGGTTCTGTCCCTGGCCACTGGCTTAGAGGTGCTGGCCACAGCTGAGCCATTGGTGTGACTTTCTGATTGGTGAAGCAGCGGAGAGGCCTGGACTCTACTACAAGAGCCCCACAATATTGCAAGTCAGAATTGGGCTCCAGAGGGCATCTCCTCCATGCTCTAACCTGGGGCTTGACTGTGGGCTGTATCAAGTACTGCCTTAGGCCTCAGACATAATGGAGGAAATATGAACATCACCCATTTATCCTGTAGGGGCATCACAGCCCTCAACATCACAGACCTTAATTCATCCACAGAATAGGTGAATAAAATGCAGGGCTATTTTTGGGCAGGAACACACAGGAACGGAGTTCCAGCTGGCTCCTGAGTTGGCCACACCCAGCAGGAACGCATTACCATAATAGGCCACACCCAACAGCAGAAACTCATTAGGATTGGCTACGTTAGGAGTGTGTGGCCTAACATGCAAAGGAGTTCCTGCTACAAAAAAAGCCCTGGGTTTTGACAACAAACAAGGTAAACAGAATAAGAGTGGGTGTGGCTGGATGACCACACTTTTGGTAACATGGGGGTGCGGCCTAATGGGCTAATGAGCTGTGTCATCAGGGGTGTGGCCTAATATGCTAATGAGTTTCTGCTGTTGGGTGTGGCCTATTATGCTAATGAGTTCTTGCTGGGCTTTTTCTACAAAATGAGCCCTGAAAATGTATATGCCCCAGTCCAGAGTTTCACGATTTAGAGAGCTGCGAGTAAGCAGAGGTTCACTGCAGTTCTGGGTGCGTAACGGACTAGTCTATAGAACTGTTCTTGAGATTGTACTGAATGGGAATAGCCTTGCTATGCATAAGCACTGCAGGCATAATTTCCAATTAAGAAGGAAAGGACTGCTCGCTGTGTATTCTGCTAACAAAATTTTACAGAATATAAAGCTGTACCGCACTGCCACAGCTTTGACTATAGAAGATAAATGGGGCCAATTTTGATGTTTTGGTGGTGGTTGGTGGTAATCCATCTTGTTGATTTGTGTACTTTCTTTCCTCTCCTAAAGGCTGGAATGACACTCACTTATGATCCAACTACAGCTGCTTTACAAAACGGGTATGTACAAGCAGACATCTAACAAATACAACATCTGCTAAGATACATTGTTGAAGAATTAATGAAGGTGTTTGGGTCTTTCCCCCCTAGATTTTATCCTTCACCATACAGTATTGCAACAAACAGAATGATCACTCAGACATCTATCACGCCATATATTGCTTCACCAGTTTCTACATACCAGGTCAGTATTTTAAAGTATTCAAATAAATGAAAAAATATTTACATCTGGTTATTGATTTTCTATTATCATAATCTAGCCTACATTAATAGAAATTTCACCCAGTTTCCACCTGCCTAGTATCATTCTTCAGATTCCCCTGTCTCCCAGGGACAAACTATACTGCATTCTCGAGTATGCCATGTGGACAAGGGACCAATCTAGAGTTTTGTGGGGTGGTTTGGTTTTTCTTCTTCTTTTAAATAAAACCTTAAAATGCTGCAGGGGCCTCATCCTCCGGGGAACTATCCTGTGGAAAGATGAGGGGCTTCCCCTCCCGCCACCATTTTCACGAGCTGAAATGGACACCCAGTAGTTTTGGCTCTTAAAACGGCATGGGGTGAGAAGACAAGAGCCTCTCAAACACCACACACACACACACACACACACACACACCGTGGTCTCCAACAAAATCACGGCCCCATGTTTTGATTTAAAAAAAAAAAAAACAAGCTCTCAAATGGTGTTGCAGTCTCAGGGACATCTAGTTTGTTCCCCCAGGAGTAGCACTTGGAGGTCAGAGAACTGCAATGGGAGTAGGGTAGGCAGGGAAATTCCATTCCACTGACAGAAAATTTAGTCTGGATCCAGTCCTATATGTAGAAAAGTAAGAACCCAGATTCTTCTAGGTCTTGGTCTTGCTGTGAGTTAAAAGGGTTCATGGCTAAATGTAGCACAGAAACTGATGCATGGAACATCATCCAATGCAAACTGTTGCTTTCATTTAATGGTAAAATTGTCAAGGAAGCTGCAGGCGTCTTGCTGAGAATGTGAATAATGGCAGACAAGGTTCCCTGAGAGACAACAACAAAGTCAAACTTGTAGGAAAAAATTGCCACAGGCCACAAGTGTTCCACACAGAGTTTGACCTCATGCTACTGGGGAAGATCCCTAGCTTCAGAGAAACTACAGAAGCTGTTTCTGGTCTGGCTAGTAGTGATGCTGGGCTGAAGTAAGCGTCAGGCCTCTTGAATATCTTTAACCCACCCAAGGCTTTGCATTGCGGTTGGGCCTACAGAGGGAAGTCTGTGCAACCCTTCTAAGCTCTGTATAGTTTCTCCCTCTGCTACATCAGAGATGAACTCATTCTGCCATTGTTGCCTGTACCACTTACATGCCTCATAGAAAGTTCCTTCTGTCCCATGCTGGTTGGATCACCACTCTAGCATGGTAAGAAACAGTCATTTGAGAAGGTGCTTCTTCCTAAACAACTGTGACAGCAATGGAGAATATGAGTAGCCAACACAAGTAACAATTCACAGAATTCACCGTAAATATTGGTATAATACAATAGATAGACAATAATTAGATGAGTAAATAGATACTAAATTATTAGAATATTAGAATTCTTTAGTACCTAAAACTTTCAGACAAATTCTACAAACAGCTGCACAGAATTTTGCACTAATAGCTGTAACCTGTGGGTTTTCACCTATAAGTAGCATTCTGGCACATGCCAAATCCGAGCGACCAGGGTATCTGCTAAGCAAAGGAAAAATAAACTTAAAGCGAATCTCTAAGTAAAAAGGGCAGTGAAATAAAATGTGATCTATTGTTTCAGTCTCACCTATGCCACAAGGGCATGACCTTTCTTCCATGGGGGCCTTTTTGTATTGTCCCTCCAGTCCCGCAGAGGAGAGTACTTGCCTTCTGGCAAGAGAAAATGCCCTCCGTTGACTAGGAATCTCTAGTTGAGAGAGATAAGCAGCCTGGGCAACAACATATCTAGAACTATCTGAGGCCAGATAGGTTGATGAACTTTATGTCACAATGCTGCTCAATGTCCAACAACCTTTGCCTCAGTTGCCACACCTAAGCTGGTGTGTCTTACTGTCAAGTGGAGGGGGGTATAATGTGGGGTGCAGACCATAGGAATTTGATTGTAATTTCTTTAAAGCAAATGTTATTGACCCATGTAATTGTGCAGTTACTATCCTAGTCTTTACAAAATCCAGTGCATCATACTCTGAAATTTTCACTGGGCTCTGTTAGTTTACTCTTGATCGTGAGAAAGTATAATTCAGAACCTCTTCTTTTCAGTTTTCCCAAAATTTCTGACAGCTTTTCATTGAACCTGAGGAATACTTTCCCCCAGTCCTTCCCATCTATAGTTTTCACAAGAGTCTCATGTTGAAACAGCAGCACTGCCTGTTCCTTTGAACCAGAGTTCCCCTCCAGTAAAGAACAAATATCTGTTGAGTATATTTATGGGACTCTTCTGAAGTTAACCTGTCATCAAAGTTGGGCATTTTACCAGGGCTCAAACAGTCTCTGATAATGTAAATCTCAGTTGGTCTGAGAAAGAGGAAACAGATGTTCCCACTTAACAGAACCACTCCCTCTTCTTGCTCTCTGAGAAAAGCATACAGAGAAGATCACATCCTGTTCCCTTGCTCTCTTTGTGATGTCATATTAGGATTCTTGGTATTCAGGTCACGGTATGCTGATGAGTACCAATGAATATCAGATTGATCAGTTCTTTCATCCCAGCTCTTCCTAAAGTGAACTTGAGGAACTGGAGCTGACATAGGCTCTCCCCCCCCCCTTCTATTCCTCCACCTCAGAATTTTTGAAGAATTCATCATCTATTTAAACAGTGTGCAAAATAATCATTTGAATGATCTGCACTAGTAATTATAAAAAGGAAAGCATGACTCAGCAAAATTACTCTGTGAGTTCACCTGGGGCTTTCTTATTGTCTGCTATCGAAAGGTTTGAGGCATAAGATTCTTGTCTTCTGTAGCCTACAGTGTGAGCCACTGCAGGCATAGTTCAAGATCAGAATTTCCTGCAAATCTTGCTAAAAAATTATACTAGAGCAAAGCTTGTTTTAAGAGAAATACAAACATCTTTTGTTATCTAGGTGCAGAGCCCTTCTTGGATGCAACCTCAACCCTATATAATGCAGCATCCTGTAAGTTTGCATGTTTTATTTATTTATTTATTTATTATGGGAACTTACATGCTCCTTCTCCAGATACCTGCTTTATTTGTACATCATGTTAAAAAAATTAATAATAATATTAGATAGACCAGTCAAACCATTTGGAAACTAAATTGCTGTAAAGGTGTAGTCATTACTGTCACACTGGCCTTTCCTGACCACCACTGGATCTCATTAGGAGATACGGGTTTAAGACCATCTAAAGGAATGTAGTCAGTTGCGTTTTGCTCAAGTAAGAATTTCAGTTGCACTAGACTTTTGCAAAAACAAAACAAAAAAAGGGACCCATGTTAGGATATGTAAGCCAAGATAAATTGTTTGGGATCATTACAGTTTCACTCTCAAAACTTTTCTTGCTTTTGTAGGGTGCTGTATTAACTCCTTCCATGGACCACCCCATGTCCTTGCAGCCCGCGTCTATGATAAGCCCCCTGACACAGCAGATGAGTCACCTTTCACTGGGCAGTACTGGAACAGTATGTGACACTTCTCATAAAGCCTATTAGTACCAAAATGACTGACTTTACCTCTTAAGAAACATGTATATTAGTGGCTTAAACTATTCCATTTGCACATGGTATCTGTACAATTAGTGGGGCAGTACATTTATTAGAAATCCGTTGTTCTGTGCAAAGTGTTCTCTCCCTTTGTTTATTTACTAGAGGTGCGGGGTTTTTTTTTTAAGGGTACGGAGAACATGTCCCTGTCAATCACATGTCTGAAGGTCAGAAACTGAATCCAGCTGCTATTTTCTCCTTTATCCACACAGAAGGGAGAAAGGCTTGGATGCAGGGGTCTTTTCCTTCCAAATCAAGTTATCTGCACTTCCATAGCTAATGACACTAACACTCGAGTGTGCACAGTGCTCAGGAGGGCATCCACCATTTGGCATGTATGTTTCTGGATTTCCTTTAATGTGCTCGTTCCTGGGATTGGGGGCAAGAACTGATGAGGCCAAATGGGAATAAAGTAGAGAGCAACTCTCCTTCTGTCTGTAGGAAGCATACTTGGAGGCCCTTTAAGAAGTTCTAATGCTTTTTACATACTAGGGAAAATACAAAGTTTGCTTTGGTTATAGGTATAAAATGAGTACTTTCCTAGCTTCCAGTATGTTTTAAAGTCTATGTTGTTTAATTTTACCTAAATATATTTTCTTTTTTTGTAGTACATGCCTGCCACAACAGCTATGCAAGGAGCTTATATACCCCAGTACACCCATGTTCAGACAGCCGGTGTTCCAGTTGAGGTGCGTATAAAAATATATATATTGAAGGGGGGAGTGTTTTTTGTCCAAAATAATTAATTTTATCATTCATATGTTATTTACTTTGCTAAATTAACATCACAGTTTAGACTAAATGATTTTGTAGGTTGGGAATCCTACAATAGGGTCTTTGGAAGAAAGATAAGACTGAAAAAATGTGGAGATCCACAACTAAATCTTGCAAAGTGTTTTGGATCTGGATGCTTACCTTCTTCCTAAGTAATTTCTCAGTAGAAAAGTATTGCTGTGGGTACAGGCTTGTATAGGCAGGTAACTGTTTCTCAAGCTGGAAAGTGGAAACCTGCCTCTTTAAATCCTGATGCTCAGAAATTCAGCCCTTTCGTAGAAACTCTTATTATTGCACTCAGTTTGATGGTTAGTTTAGGTAACCTTTCTCCTCACCTAGGCCTTCATCTGAGTTCTACAGTGCAATTTTCCTGGCCTTGTTACGTTCCAAGCTGGTTGCTACCATTAGGGAAGCTCCTTTCTTCTACACATCTCAGTTGGCACTAGGCAGAAACAAAAGACCACCTCTACGCTGCCCTCATGCTGTCAGTATTCCATGACAACAGCATGTGTAGCCTTTTATTCTGCCCACTTTGTGGATATCTTTTCACCCTGCTTGAGGAAAATAGTATTTTCCTACTTATTCAGGGTCCTCCTACTCAGTATGCAAACACTTTCCTCTTGTTTGTAGGTAGGCCCGTTCTACTGCTCTTCTGATTGCCACAGACCAACCACTTTACTATTTAGGTATAGTACAAGCTGCAAGGAGTCATGGAAGGAGGGAATAAACAATTTGGAAACAGACACTCTTCTCCCTCCCGGATTCTGGAAGCTCTCAGGACTTTACCAGGCAATATCCATAACTCCCTCTGACTCTTTTTCTTTTGATTCTCAATATTCAATGCTTCTTGGAACATGTTCATCAGGGTGTATTTGTGGGGAGTGGGATTTAATTTAAAGTCACATGTTTCTACCAGCCCACTGAGTCCCCAGAGTATCTAGAAATTCTTACCTAGTTTACATGTCTGGTCTGGTTTTGCTGCTTTCGTGATTGATACAAGCCTCCTACTTTGTTATTAAACAGTGTGACAATTTAGTATGATGAAATGAGGCAGTCCTACTGATGAAATTATGGATCCCAGAGGAATTTACCCTCTGTACACTCATAGTGGGGAACTTAGACAAGCTGTGGTGGAGCACACATCTAGACTCAACCTTTGCCATTCATGGCTCCTAGTGTCAAGCCAGGATAGTGTGGTGGGCCCAGGAGGTAATAAACACTTCTCTGAGGAAAGGTGTGGTTCCAGCTGCTTTGAAAGAGGTGGTTGTAAAACTTCTCAAGAGGGCATCCCTGAGCCCAAATGACATAAATAACTTCTGTCCGGGGGGGCTGGTGTTTCTTTCTTGGGCAAGATACTTGAGCAAGTGGCGGCTATGAAGCTTTAGGCAGTCTTGGAGGAGACATTGTCTACAGCCATTTCTATCCAGGCTCAGATCTAGTTTGGGATGGAAACAGCCTCGGTAACCCTGACCTGTGATCTTACCCAGGAGAGTGACAGGGGAGTGCATCCCTGTTGATTGTTTTGGATCTCTCAGTAGGTTTTGGTACCATTCACCATGGTATCCATCTTAAGAAGCTGTCATGGCTGAGAGGGGGAAAGACCATGCTCCGGTCATTTACTTGGCTGACTGATTCCAGAAGATGGAACTGTGGAATGCTACTAGGCCCTGTAGCATTTATTCTGTGGGGTCCGATGGGGATCTGTCTTTTCCCCCATGCTGTGTAACATACACATGAAACCACTGGGAGAGAGAATTCAGAGATTTGGAGTGAGGTGTCATCAATATGTGGATGGCACCCAGCTCTGTTTCTTCTTAATCCCCGAGCCAGGGGCATCTGTGGGAGTCCTGAATAGGTGCCTGGAGAAGGTCAGGGCTTTTTGGTAGAAAAAGCCCAGCAGGAACTCATTAGCATAATAGGCCACACCCAATAGCAAAAACTCATTAGCATATTAGGCCACACCCACATGCCTTTCCTTGGTTTGCCCGGGTGCCCGCAGCTGCGGGGAGCCCGGGCAAGCCGGCCCTTGGAGGGGATGGGAGGCAGTTTAAACTGCCTTCCTTTGGCTTGCCCAGGCACCCTGTGGCTGTAAGGAGTCTGGGCAAACCAGCCCTTGGGCAGGCTGGGGAAGGCATGGGGAGGCATTTAAATGCCTCCCTGATCCTTCCAGGGTCCCCCCAGCCCGCCTGCCTTGGAGTCGCTGAGGGGAGGGTCACTCTCCAGGCCTTCCCTCTGTAGCCACGCACACAGAGGTTTTGGCTGTAGGCCAGTAAACTGAATCCCAATCTAGATGAGACTGAGGCGCTGTTGCTCTGCGACAAAGCTACTTGAGATCTGAGGAGTCAGCCTGTCCTGGAAGGCATGGCATCCACCCTAAAGTAATGGGTTTGTAGCTTGGGGGGGGTGCTGCTGGATCTTGTCCTGTGGTTGGAAGCTGAGGTCTCCTTTGTGGTGTGTAGTACCTCTTGTCAGCTTCAGCTGATATGCCAGCCACTGCTCTTCTTGAAAAGTATGATCTGACCACAGTGATCCATGCTCTGGTAGCATCCAGGTTAGATTACTGTCTCATACTCAATGTGATGCTGCCTTTGAAAACTGCTTGGAAACTTACGTTGGTCAAGAATATGACAGCCTCGTCAGGGGCTGGATACATGGATTGTATCATTCCTGTGCTGAAAGATCTACATTGGCTGCACGTTTGTTTCAAGGCACAATTCAAAGTGCTGATTCTTAGCTTTAAGGCCCTAAATGGCTTGGGCCTGGGATACGTGAAGGAACCCTTCCTTCCATACTGTCCAGCCCATGTCTTGAGAGCTTCCTCTCAAACCCTGCAATCTGTGCTCCTGCATCCAGAGTTAATGCTGTTGGTAACCAGAGAAAGGGCTTTTTTTCAGTGGTAGCCCCTTGCCTTTGGAGTGCCCTTCCTCTTGAGGCTTGCCTACTTTCCTTTCCTTCAAGCATCAGACTCAAACATTTCCCTTTACCCAGCTTTTTAAACTAAGGGGTTACATCTTTCTTTTTAGTTGTTTTATGGTCTGCTCATAGCCTGGGGAATATCTGTTTAATATAAACTGATTTTCTGTCTTACCTTATGTTTAGTGGTGGTTTTTATTGGTGTGTCTTCCAGTATTACTGAGTTGGACTGTTTTATTAGGTTTTTTGTGATTGATTTCTTATTCTATGCTTGGTTTGTTTTATTGTTGTGAGCTGCCTCAAGCAGGTCTGGAGAGTGGCATACACGTTTTCTAAGAAAATAAATCTTGCCACAAACTGTATATAATATTAGAAAGGATTTTTTGTTGCATGTGTTTTACATATACTTAATCACCACAGTAATATTTATTTAATACATACTTAATTATTAACCATTTCAGGAAAGCCTGAAAACAATCATTTGCTTCACTTTTCCTAGTTCAATCTCATGCTTACTTTCTTTCAATATACAGGAAGCCAGTGGTCAACAGCAAGTTACAGTAGAGACGTCCAGTGATCATTCTCCATATACTTATCAGCAAAACAAGTAACTGTGAGGTAAATTTGAAAATAAATTTCAAAAACAGCCTGTCAGGCATTGTATGTACAGAAACGATATATGAAGTGACATTTCCTTTTTTGAAGCCAGTTTGATTTTTGAACCTTTGTACTGTAACATCCTGAGAAGCTGGACATGTATCTCCTTGAGCCACTGTTCAGTATACTTGGTACAGTGCCAGAGACTTACTCTATTTACCTGAAAGGAAAACTAGTTCTTTACTCAGCAGTGCCATGAAGAAAAATATGGGTTCATCTTAAATTCACATGCAAGTTATAGCTGTGTGCAGTAATAATTGTATGGGTATGTGGGTATCCTTTTTTAATAGGGATTGCCTTGCTTTCAGGTAAATATGGTACCATTTGAAAAGGAAATAGGATGGATTCTGCAAACCATCCATGGAACGCAGTAATAACATAGCAATAATATTCTCGTGCTAGTGTGGAATATGCAGATTTTTATAAAAGACTAGGAAAGACTTGTGTGCAATATCTTGCACAGTGCCTCATGGTAATGGGAGAACAAGTTTGAATATGGTGATCTTTTCTTAGTGTAATGCTCTTCTGATGAGTAAAATAGTTTTTCTGCTGTTTTATTTATTTATTTTTTTCATTCATTCATTTAATTTGTATCCTGTCCTCCTTTCCAAGGCAGGCTCAGGGCAGCATACATAAAACATATTAAACATTAAAACACAAAATTAAATAAAACCGGAACAGTACACTTTTAAAACACAGCGTAAAGTGCTAGTGCTGATCGCCGGCAACAGCGGACGTTAGCAGCGTCTGCCCCGTGACATGTTAATGGTGATGGTAATTTGGGTCTGGCATTAACATGTTGATGATGGTGTTTGTTTGGGGCCAGGGTGTCGGTTTCCTAGGGGGCTCCCTACTTGAAGAGCCCTTCCGCAAATGGTTCAGTAACTCTGACTCTTGCACTAGGCAAATCAGGCAGCAACCTTTGCTTGAATATTCATAAATTAATAATGGCTTATTTAAGGGTAATCGAGAACTTCTGAGAATCAAATTGAGGCTCAGGAATCTTGTCAGGGTAGGTTAAAACAATGTAACAAGGATCTCAGTAAGACATCTGTGGATCTGTACTAAGAACATACTAATTAGTGGACATATTTAATTAGTGCAGCTATCATGTAAAAGAAGTAGGTTGGGTCCTACGAACTGTCAGTGGAATGCAACAATTATAGTGGCACGCGATAATATAATAAAGTATAATAGCAATTTATAAACACAAAATAAAGATAATACAGTCTAAAGCAGGGGTTGCAAGTGGGAAATCCACTGTTGAAAGTGCAAAGTAAATAGCAAGCAGAGCACTAGTTTGGGTATGTATAAAAGAACCATTACACAAAACTGCTTCTAGGCACAGATTGTGGTCTCTAGATTCAGCTGTATATTTAATGCCCTTTAAATGTTTCAAAAGTTACCCTCCCTCCACTTACCCTCTTCACGAGGTGGTTGTTAGAGTAAAATACAGGAGCTTAGAACAGTGTCATAAGCTACTTGGGGTTCTCATTGGGGAGAGAATTCGGGTATAAATAAGCAAACAGAAGGCCTTCAACACAGGCTTGATGCTGAGGAATGAGGCAAATAGAATTGTATGATCCTTTTTTTTTCTCTCTTTCAGATATGTAGTGTTGACCTTGCCTAGAGAAGGATGCAAAGGCTGAAACAATCATGGATTTTACTGATCAATTGTGCTTTAGAAATTATTGACAGTTTTGCACAGGTTCTTGAAAACGTTATTTATAATGAAATCAACTGAAACTATTTTTGCTATAAGTTCTATAAGGTGCATAAAGAAAAAGAAAAAAAACTCCTTAAATTCATCCTAGTAGCTGTTTTACCCCCTTCCCTCCCCAAACAGGTTTATTTTAGTAAGAAAATTTTTATCAAGTGTTATGACGCAAAAAAAATAGAATAAAATAAAAAAAAATCTGGCCATGCACAGATCGCAATGGAGACATGTTCATGTGCATGACAGAATCCGTCTCTTGGTTTTTGTTTTTATTTTGTGTTAATTTTTTTTTAAAAAAATGTGTAAGGGTTTTTTTTGTTTTTCGAAGTTAAACTAGTAATACATCCATGCTGATGGTCTGTGCTTGCCGTGTGAGTGTCGATATAGCACAGTGTTGCCGTTGTAGTGTCTGTTTTTTCATAGCTTTCTGGGGTTTTTTCTTTTAAGGTAGTGTGAAGTGTCTTATCCTTTTTTCTATAAATTCCAATTTGCCTTAACTCTTTTAATGCTGTAGCTGTTTCAGTACGTAGTCCAAACTTAATGGTATAGAATGCTTTTTGACCAAATGAGCTGGTCTATTATGCCTTGTAAAACAGCAGGGTTAGGGCTTTTAAGAGGTAGTGGATTTAAAAATTGCTGAAAAAAATCTGGCTTTTTAAACCGTGTAGTAGGTGTTTTTAATGACTTTTTTTTTCCCTCTCGCGCATAATGTAAGGTTGTGAAATGCAAGATTTGGGAAGTGGGTGGGTAGGGAAATGTTTTGTGTGAAACACATTTTCAACTAGGGGAAATTTTAATAGGATAAATTGTTTGTAAGGCCTTATGCCGATAGTTTTCCTCTGATAGTTAGAAACTCTGCTGTATGATGCAATGTAAAAAAAAAAAATCTTTTTGCCTTTTTCCAGAAGCTAATTGATGTTCTAGTTTTAGGGTGGGGGAGGGGAGGTTGGGGTGGGAAATCTGCAGAATGTTTTCTGTCCTTCCTTTCTTGTAATGATAGTGCTTTAGAATGATGCTATGCTGAGACCTAGCGAATAGAAGCATTTGCTTTTACAGCAAAAAAAAAGGCAAAAGCTAAAGGAATTCTTTGCAAACATAAGCTGAGATGTAAGTAGAAAACATACTAGATTGGGTACTAGCTCTCTATATTAGGTAAATAAAGACTTGGCACTTTTTAAAGGTAACTTTACCAAAGAACAAAGAGCCAGTAACCAATAATTCTGATTTGTCTCAGCTGTTATGTCTTCTGTACTCTTTATTTTTTTATTTTTGCCGGACCAGTTTGCGGTTAGAAGAATGTGCCTTTTTTTGTACATTTGCATTTAGGTTTTATAATTTTTAATTGATGTATGGACACACACACAAACAAAAAAAAGCATGAAGGAAGACTTGGATCCAAGCAGTGCCACGCTTTACATCATCACTACAAGTGTTAAGTGTAAAGATTAAAAAAAAAACAATTTTGAAACTATGAAATTCCTGATTTCATGAATACACTGTTATTTGTACTTTTTACATATTAGATAATGAACTCACTGCTATTAAAGCTCATTTTTATTATGATCGCATGTATATTAAATCAAATGGTAAATTAAGTTGTCTTCCAAAAACTGTGTACTTGTCTGGTCAACTATGTGTGATCAGTTATCTACCTCAAGGCTTATTTCCTTTTGTAATGGGACAGGTTGCTGGCCCTCCCTGTTTCCACAGACCAAATCATCCTAGCTCAGGAGCTAGGCCGAAGCAATTCTTTCTTTTCACTTTTTTTTTTTTAGTTTTTAAATTTTATGTGAGCATTCAAGTACAGATGTCAGTGACATTTCATAGTTTCAAAAGTCAATGCTGCTCTGAGAAGTGTAGATTCTAGTAAATTACATAGTCATAAGAGATGTGTTTTTGTTTCTTTTTGTATTTTGTTGTTTTTTAAAAAAAAGATAAAAAGTTGTGGTATTATTGGTTCTATGCTCCCTGGAATATTACTGCTTTGTTAAAGTTCAGACGTCTTGCAACATGGTTTCCTATAGCTGGTATATTTCTGGGAGTGGGGGGACAAGGGGTTGTTTGCTATTTGATATTTTTTTCAATTAGCTAAAAATCGGGTTAGAAGGAGGGAATAGATGCTGCTAGAAACGTCTGAACTAAGTGCCATACTCATTATCTGGGTAAGATTTGCAAAATGTAACCTCTGTACATAAAAAAAAAATCAGTTACTTAAACATCACATAGTAGACAGCCATTAAATTATAAAAAAAATAATTTATGAAGAAAGACCTTTTGTACAGATTGAAAAAAAAGATTTTCATAGAGATATCTATATGATCAAGAGAGTTAATTTTTTATTTTTGTTTTACTAGTGCCACAACCTTGCCAGTGGTAACTTATTTGTCCGGTTCAAGATAAACTCTGTCATTTTGTTTCCTAGGACTTGTTGTTAAAATGCCAAAAGACATTTTTGAACTGTACATTTGATTAGATTGTTAGCTTTTTTCTGTTTTATTTCTTTTGAAAACTTTTGAATAAAAAAGATCAAAAATTAAACATGACTTTCTCGGGGGGCTTTTGTTTTTGTTGTTTTGTTTGTTTTTACAGTGCTGGGGTAAAGTAGCCTATAGTTAGACTTCAGCATTACCAAAAATCTGTTACTTTCTTCTTGACTGGGTTTGCTCATGTTTTATTGAGATGGATATTAACTTTCTCGGAATGCATCACATTATTTTCAAGGGGGACAATTATTTAAATTGAACAACTGACTTACATGTAGCAAGTAGTATCTATCTGGCTTTCCAACTTCAGATTACTCCAGGCTTAGCAGTGCCTTGAAGGTTCATAAATACAGTGCTAGGGGCATGAATGAAGAAAGTATCTGGAAGTACAATGTCAGAATAGAGTCATAAAAAGCCTGTCATAAGGTAGGTTGAATTGGTCGTGTATGTGGAGGATCTTTCCCTCTTTCCTGCTTGCTGCAATCACCAGTGGTCACCTCACATGAACACATGAAGCTGCCTTATACTGAATCAGTCCATAGAAGTCAGTACCATGTACTCAGACTGGCAGCAGCTCTCCCCAGTTTCAGGCAGTGGGTTTACACATCACCTACTACTTGATCCTTTTAATGGGAGATGCCAGGGATTGAATTTGGGACCTTCTGCATGTCAAGCAGATGCTCTGTCACTGAGCCACAGCCTTCCCTCAAGTTTACATGAGGAAGCTACTTCAGGCCTGACCAAACTACATCTGCAATAATCCTGTTCTACAGGTGATTATGAAGTGTATTACGATGGACAGTACACTGCTTATTCAGGAAGTCAGCCAAGGTAGAAGGAATCTTGACTCCCTGGATGAATTGTGAGTGTGTGCTCCATAAAGCAAGATTTTATGGTGCTAGTTCAACTAATTTACCTCCAACATCCGACCGGGATGGGAATGCTCAGGATGGATGAGTTAGGAGACGGTTTCTTACTTTACTCATGTTCTCCAGTCTCACAATGACTCCTTCAAGCCTCTATTTCTGCATGTGAGTATCAGACAGGCCCCTTTTTCTACTTCCATGCTGAACATGAACTAGTGACAAACCTGCACCCACCTTTTGGCTGCTTTGAGTAAGTTCAGTCAGACTTAGTAGACATGAAACAGAGTAAGCCTCACTGAATAATATGGGGCTTGCTACTGAGAAGATCTGTTTAAAAGTGCTCCCTTCATCCCCAAACTAGTCTCACAGAATTCCCTTCAACTGTGAGGAGATCATTTCAAAGAAGAAACTGTGTCGGGCAAACCTCTTAAGTTTCTATTACATATATTCCAGAAGGGTTGCCATGCTGGTCTGTTCTAGCTGAGGTAACAAAGGACATTGTGTTCCTTTAAAGATGCATGTACTCAGTAGGTAAAGAACTGCAAATTAGTTTAGAACTGCAAATGGTATACAACACAGGTTTGGGAATACCTGCTGAGACTGAGGAGTTCATGCAGTTTTGAAGGCATTCCTTCTGCAACTCTTGTTCCAAGGATTCTTATGGCCTCCTGTTTCCAAACATGCCCATTGTCATGTAAAGGAGGCCCAAATGAATATTTGCAACAATAAAGCCTAACTGTTCTCCCAGGCATACATTATTCCAAAATCAGCTCCAAAGTTCCAAGACAGCTTTTTAAGTCTTGAAAGCTCCACTTGGGGAGAAATTTCCTTTGGCGTTCAGTGACTTGGTGAACAAAGCAGAACCTTAACCTTTTCCTCCCTTAGATAAGCTACCAGGGAGCTTGTGATTTAGCTTCCTGAATAAAGACTGACACTGAAACTTCTTTTTAATTTTTTTTACAATAAATAAGAAATGTTGAAGATTATATATGTGATGAATTAATAATGCTCTTGCCAACATGGTATCATAGATATACTTTGATATCTTTGTTGGCACTTTGGGCATGCAACTCTCTTGATTGCACTGCAAGATAGGTAAAATTCAATCAAATGTTGAATGATCTTACTGCTTTCCCCTTTATCTGATAGGTATTTGATGAATTAATAATGCTCCTGCCAACATGGTATCATAGATATACTTTGATATCTTTGTTGGCACTTTGGGCTGTAACTGGGCACATCTCAGGCCTGTCATCTGCTGTGGCTCACACACTGGCGGAAGGTCCATCACTGACCCTTCCTTGTGTTTCTGGTTGCGGTGGTTTTTTGGTGGTGGTGGTGGTGTTTGGCAGCAGTGGAGAAATCAGAGACCTAGAGAGGCATGATGTGTTCTTTCTACTACCATTGAGTAACTCTCCTATTGAGAAATGGAAGATCAAACCGATATCCTCCCTCACAGGAGCCTGTTGCATAACATCCTGTTTCCCAACAAAAGTGACAACTGAGTCGCTTGCTGGGCTCCTCTGGGCCTCAACAATTTGTTGGTGTAGGCAGGGTCAAAAATAAGTGTAACTTCACTGTTTCTTTAGCTGCCCTTCCTGTTGGCAAATGACACACCTGCAACAATGCAGGTGTTTCTCAGGAAATCTATCTTTCGATGACAAACACCCTCCCAGAAGATGCAGAGCATGACTAATGCACTTTTTTGGCTCTGCAGGACTGACTAGGCCAGAGCAGGTGGGACCAAAATAAACAGGATACAGTGGCATTCTGTTGCTGTTGCTACTGCATGCCTCTTTTTTTTCCAGTGTAGGGATGCAGTCTTGCAAGCAGAGCTGCCAAACTTCTGGTGGGGCCTGGAGATCTGTTGGAATGACCACTCATCTCCAGACTATATAGATCAGTTTCCCCTGGAGAAAATGGTAATTTTGGTGGGTGG